AGCAATCACCAGAACAGCAACAACAGCAACAGCAACAACAACCACAACAACAACCACAACAACAACAACCACAACAACAGCAACAGCAACAACAATCACCAGAACAGCAGCAGCAGCAGCAACAACAACAAACACAGCAACAGTCACCGCAGCAAAGGTATGGGACTGAAATTTCAGAGCATAAGGAGTCCAATGAAAAGCTGGGTAATAAAAGGAAATTGAAAAATGGTTCTGAGAAATCTAAGAAACAAAAGACCGATCCTGCTGCAAAAACAAAGAAATTCAAGAAAGAAGAACCTAAAGATATCGACTCGAATGATTCAACTGTTTCACCGGATTCCACGGCAAACAACAAGGGCAACGGGGATTCGAAGCGAAAGAGCTTTTTGGAACGTAATAGAGTTGCAGCCTCGAAGTGTCGTCAACGTAAGAAACAATTGATTCAAAAGATGGAAGATGAATTAGCCTTTTATTCAAGCGGTTATAGGGAATTATCTGCTCAAGTAACTCAATTGCGTGACCAATTGGTTAATCTTAGAGGAATACTCATTGGACACAAGGACTGTCCAATGTTAGTGTCTTCAGTTGGAGGGTTTGACCAATTGAATAATATCATCCAACAAAGCAATTATGTAACACAAATTGCTTCCAGAAGTCAAACCAATGTCAGCTCTATGCCAAGCACTATTCCAACTACATTAAATACGCATACGGGCCCTATTAACGCAAACCAGCCAGTTAACCTGTACATTATTCCACCCAATGGGCAACAATCTAGTAGTATTGGCCACAGTCCTGCGTTACCATTGCATTTAACTCAAGCTAATGCTGATCGTACGAGTAATAATTCAACTACAAATCCATCGACCGATACGTTGAATACATCTGCATCCATCAACTATCCGAATCATAATCAACAACCAAACAATATTTCCAGCCACCATAGTCTTTCTGATTTACCCTCTGCTGCTGCGCAGACTTTGAACCAGCAAACCAATCAACCTTCTAGTACGGGTGATTTAAGAACCATTCATAGCATGTCCAATATTGCAGGCATGAATAACACTAGTGATAAATTGCAGGGCATGGGTAATTCTGGCTTCAATCTAAGACCTGTTAACAGCATGATTGATCTCAATCAACAGCATATTCAGCAATCTCATCCTCAGCAACAAAACTATGGTAACAATATGGTAGATCCGGTTGCAGTCGCTACAAGAAACATGTTAGGCTTATCTCAGCCCCAATCTTAAAGTATTTGTATATTAATATATAATAGATCTTATGAATATTTTACCAATTTTGTAGCTTTTTTTGCGATTGGAAATACAAAAAACCATACCATGCAAGTTTAGTTGGCATGGAATGGTTACATCTATGGATCAGTTACGTCTATGAATCATGAAATCACACGAGCCGTCTTCGGATACATTTGAAGGCCAGACGATTAGATCTAAAGTCCATACTGAATCACCTGATTAACATTTACGTTCTACACCGCGCCATACAAAATGCCAAATAAACAATTGATCTAGACTGTTTCTAATGTAGCGGTGACCAAATAGGACTACGATATGGTTATAAGTAGAAATCGGATGGAAGACATGGAGCTTCCAGATATTCCTGGTTCAAATGCTCGAAACAACGATGGGAATATTATAAAGGCTGATCAATTTACAAGGAAAAAGCTTCGAGGTATATTACACCTCATCACTGGAGAGCTAAAAAGTCGTGGTACTAAAACACCTCATATATTCTTACCTTTCAGATCAAGAATAGATGATACCAAGCTTGAGCAATTTATTTCCAGAATTTTTCCTCGGGGGGAACTAATCAGTATGTATGACGAGGTTGAGGTAGTTGAAATTTTGAGAAAGTTTGATGAATTTACTTTGATATGTGGGTTAAAATATTTATGGAGTAGGCTAACAAACAACGAAATTATTGGATGGGATGTTTATCTTGAGTATAAGCGGAAAGAGAAAGAAGCAGGATATCCAAAGGGAGCATTTTTGAGCATTATGCCTAAGTGCCTATCGTCACCGGCACATGCGTCGATTGTTTATGATTTTCTTGATCTTTTGATATCTATTGCTTCAAATTCACAGTATAACTATTTAAGTGGAAGAAAGATTGCTAAGATGTCAAGTTTGTGGGCATTCAATGGTTCTACGAAACCTCACCAATCTCCATTCTACGATGCTACTCTAAGTAAGGAAAATACTTTTATAGACGGATTGGAATATTGGAAGCCTTCATCAGAAGCATTATTTCACTTATTATTGTCATTTTTGAGGGCAATGCTTCCTGACAATGAAACTGATACTCTTAAACTTCCAAAGACATTGCAATCGTTGTTGATCACAAATTCTTATCCCCCATTGGAAAATACCGATTCAATAAAGTCTATAATAACTATCCCCTGCGTGGTAATCAAATCAACTAAAGTATCATCGAATGTTTATGAGTTATTAAGTAAGGTTAGAAATACCATTTCTTTTAGCAAGAAAGATTCATTCTTGTCGATGGAAAATTACACTATTTTGAAGAATATTTTCCAAAAATCTTCTACAAATGAAATAGTATCATCTTTGACTGAAGAATCTAGAAGAATCTTGACTAGATTAAATTCAGATCCGATTGATTCCAATTATAATTTATATCCCGGATGGTCCAAGCCAGACCTTGTCACTGATCCAAACATACCTTTATTTTCACAAATTAATATCGAGGACGTTTCCTTGCAAGATTATTATATATGGACTTGGCTTTCTTCGCTTGCATCTGACCAAACATCCCATAATAAAAAGCTATTTGGAAGATCAATTGTGGTAGAAGCAAGTCTAAAGGGTTTTCAAAAATGGATGATTATTACAGAACAAGTTTTAGATTCCGAAGAGTACATAAGACATTTCAATGGCTCTTCATTCGAAAACAATAAACGCGTTATAAGTAACGAAAGCTACAAAAATATGCCATTACCTCCTCCCCCCCCTCCATCTAAGGATAGTGATTTGTTACCAAAGTATAGGTTTAATGATGATGATTTTAAGATTCAAGTTCTGGCAGATGATGACGAATACATTTATCCAACCCAAGTTAACGATGAGGAATTAAGTGACTACAGGAAGTATCTTGAATCACTAAGTGAAAGTCAAGAGAATGAATTAACGAGCATTTTCAAACAAAAATCTAGCTTGGCAAGTAATAATGATAAGAAAGCTACGCACAGACCTCCACCTCCACCTCTAGATACAAAAGAAGTAAATGATAGACAACAACATAATAACAATGCAACTCAACTGCATTTAACTGAGTATGATTTGCCTCCTCGTCCTTATCAGCCTCATTTATATGAAACGGAACCACATCAACCAAACGTTTCACCAATACCCGACCAAAATAATTTGAATGCTATGATGCGTGGCTCTAAAAATCTATCATCATCAAGTGCTATCAGTTCAAGTGCATCTCAATACATGACTCCGGAAGGATCAAGTTCACCACAAAAGACAAATGATCCTAATCCGTATTATACTAATGGTAGCTTTTCCCCTGATCAAGTTAGTAATTCTGGCTTCAAAGAACCATACGAGAACTATGAAACTGAGTCTGAGAGGTATGTAAGATTAAAACATCAAAAATCGGAAGAACCGTATGACGATTATCATGTAGCTGGCTTAAATGCAGCAAAGCATGATTACGAAGAACAAAACCAAATAGACCATTATCAGCCTCCTAGAGCTTATGAAGATAATTCTTCATCAAGACCAGTCGATAGTCACACCCCGCATGAACCAATCGATGTGCATGCATCAAGTCCTAAAAACAAACAACTATCTCCAATACCGGTTGAAAAAGATCTTCCACAAGTGATAGTTAATCATGAGACTCATTTTGAACCAGCTAGAAATGATCAACTGCCGGTACGTCCAAAAATGGAAGTGCAGGGTATTTCTGATGAGGTAAACGAAAATCATAAGATTAATGATACACACATGCCTACAATGACATATCATGATCAAACAGAAGCATATTCCGAGCAAGATCCAACCGTAGGTGATATCAAGAAGGAAGAAAAGAAGAAGAAGAAAAAACACAAAAAGAAGAAAGATCAACAATCTCCAACGCACAACAATGGACTGTTCAGTCCCCAGCATGAATCATTTTATGGAAATCTACCACCAGGGCCACCACCACTGCTTGGAGTGTTTCCACCAGGACCACCACCACCGGGACCACCGCCTCCAGGTATAATTCCACCCTTTTTGGAATCAAATTCTTCTGAAATTCCACCTTTCTTCCCCCCTGGTCCTCCACCTGGAATGAATGAACCAGTGAAAGAGCCGCAGGTTCAAAACAAGACAAAGAAAAGGGTTAAAAAAACTAAACAATCTACCGCTCAACCTCAAGAAGAAGGTGTAGCTGAGTCTAATCTGATGCCTATGGAGCATGATAAGAATTTTAACGATACTAAATCGCCTCAATTACACTTTGATAAATCTGAAAAGAACCCGGACACAATTAATCCACAACCGGGTTTCGATTCCCCAGAATCTTTTCAAGATCAAGTTAAGTATAACCCAAGAAAAATGACACCACCCAATAACTACTCTGAACCTAATTTGCAACATCAGGTACAACATCCAAATATCCCACAACAGCAGATACAACATCCAAATATCCCACAACAGGAGATACAAAATCCAAATATTCCACAACAGCATTCAACAACTCCTCATATAAAAATAAATAATGAGTATCAAACCGGACCTCAGCAAGCGAGAAGACAAAGCCCGCCGCAAGCTCAGTCACTACATCTGTCTGGACCAAAGTATACTCAACAAATGCCACCAAATACGGCGCATGGATCGCGTTCTGTTCCTCATTTAATGGGGGCCCCAGCTCCACATCCTGGGTCACAGTCAGCACCTCATTTACCGTTGCAACAAGACTATGCAGTTCAACCCCAAACCATGTCTCCACGCATGAGAAGTAATAGCCCCTATATTAATGGGAAACCTCACAATAATAACCAAGCTCGTCCTCCACAAGGTTATCCGCAGAATCCTTCTGTTCAACATCAACATTATCAGCCAACGAGCAATCTGTATGTCCAACCACCTCCAAATGTAAATTATTACCAGCAACCACCTAATGTTGATCCAAATATGGGCCATTACCAGTCCCCTGGCCCTATGAATTCGACTCCTATGCACCCGCAAGTTTACTATCCCCCAGGGCCCCAGCATCAGCAATATTATCCTCCACCACACCCTCAAATGGTATCCTCACAAAGAATGCCTGCTAGAACTTATGGTCAACCACCTTCGAATAACTTGCTGATGATGAATGTGCCATCAGGTGTGAAGCATAAGAAGAATGGGAAGAGTAGTAAGGCAGATCTAAGGGCTGCCTTTAATCAAAGTACATTTGGAATTTGATTTTTTGTATAGATCTATATTTAGAAACACAAATAATGTAAATAAACTAGACTTTTAAGCAAAATGAAGACCGTTAAGCACACTTAGTTAAAATATAGTCAAAAGTGTATGTATACATGTATAAAATAAATGAGTAAGTAATAAATGAATAAATAATAAATAGTAATAAATAGTTAATAAATAAATTATAAATAGGAGAAATAACGTAAATAAATGTCAAAATCTTGAAGAACGACAATTATAGTTGTATAAGAAGAATTGAAAAGAAGCCTAGTATTCAGATAATCTCAATTTCTTGCCTATCTCTCTCACTGAGAAACCGCTGTTATTTCTATTAAGGAATGGAGGTTCAGGGCTAGGACCTCTCGATTTCATATCGTCATCACCCATATCGAAGTAGCCATAACCACCTAATAAGTTAGATATAGTTGACTTCTTTTGTGCCAACGATGGTCTAGGAGCCAGTAATTGTGGGGTTGTTTTAATTTTGGTGTCGATTGGTGATTCAATTTGTTCCTTACTAGACTCTTGAAAAATACTATAGATTTCATTCAAGTACAGCTCTAAGGTAACCAAAAATCTTTCTGTTTGCCTATGTTTTGAAGCTGCACATATCGAAATAGAATCATCCTTAATAATATATGCTAAACCAAAACCGTTAGCTGATACTGGACCAAATCCAAATAGCCTCAATGATGGGTTACCACAATTTGAAGTAGATAAAACAGTATTGTTCAATTTATCCCAACCGGAATCAGCAAATATAGATGGTAGTTCAGTTAGATCATTCTTACAGCTGTTATAGTTATTACCAATTGTAGTGTCTGAAGAATGTGTTTCAGTGTCATCATCAACAAGGGTCAGTATAGAAGATCTTTGATTTTCAAATGAAACAGTATTGTCGTGTTCCAAATCCATTGCCTTGAATTCACTGGAATCGACGTATCTTTTCCAGATACAGAAAAGAGCATATAAGTGTCTATCAACCCCTTTACCCATAGAGCATTGCTTGGTTTGTTGGGCATGTTTGGCACAAGCGTTAGTTAAATATGCAAGCTTATCTTTATTTGAAACAGTCAGATCAAAGAACTTACGAACAAACAAGTTTGACTCCTGAGAAACGGTTCTAACAGCTTCAGTTCTACCATGGAAAAAGTTTTTAGTCATTGCCGGTTCATATGTACATTCAACCTTACCATATAACGCATAATATGTAACCTGAAAAGCCATTTGAACAAAAGCATCAGGACTATATTTCATCTTCTTGATAGTAGAGGAACCATAATTCTTGAATTCCAAATGTTTGAATTCATTTTGATTAATCAAATCAGATAATCTAGTTTCCCCGAATCTTAATGCCAAAGATAAATCTGGAGTTAATTCCCATTCCAATTTTCTTGGGATTGTAACTAATTCTTCTTCGTAGTCAGGTTTTGAGGAGGGATCATTACCCCATAATGAAGGAGCATGGCCATTGATGCTTTGTGCAAATGATAAGATTGAATCCGTATAAATATCGCTAACAAACCGTAAAACTGTATGGCCATCAACACCAGTATGTTCAAAGTTTATACCTGCCTTACCATTTTGAGTAACAATAATTTGTAATTTATCATACCATCTGTTGGTACAGGTACCAACTTGAACACCTTTATCCAAGATTGACAATCCACATAACATATTTTTAGCCAAGTCTGATAAGTTTTCTAATCTCAAGTCATCAAGACATAAAACAAATAATGCAGAATCGATGATGTTTAAAATTTCGTTGTTGTTAGCATTGTTGGTGATGGTGCCACTGTTTCTAATTTTAGCCCAAACTCTTCTATTTTCGGTAGTCAATACCCCAAATGAAGATTTAGCTATCTCGCTGATTGATGTATTTAACGAGTCCTGGATGATGGATGTGAAATTGACAATCAATTCCAGCTCTGATAAAATTAAGTTATTCTTCTTGTCCAAGACGTCAAACCAATAAAATTGAGACTTGCTCATGACCACAATATGGTTAGAATTAACATCAGTTTGCATGACACACCCATCGTCGGTGGGAATTCTTGAGGCCCCAAAGAGCTTAGAATATTGGTACATGCAAAGAGGTTGCCCGTTTCTTGTTTTGTCTACCAGCAACGTTTCGTTTTTCAAGGCACGAATAAACTTCAATGACGATAATGTTAATGATGCAGCTCTCTTCACTTGTGGATTGACACTCATCGACTCGTTGTGGAAAGGGTCATCTTCCAAAAGGAAAAATGGGTTCAAGTTCAAAACCACGGGAGAATCGTAGTTCAAGTAGGAATCATACCAAAACTGTTCAATGTACGAGTTTCTTCCTTCGCTGTATTTCCGAAGTTCTTTATCCAAGTATTCTCCATTTCCTCCAAGCAAGAACAGTCTCACTGCCTCCTTGGTTCTCTCATGCTCCTTTTCCGTCTGAAGCGGTTCTAATATATTCAAATAGTTCTTGCATGTTTCATGCAATTCTGGTATTGGTAATTTTTGAAGTTGATCTTGGTATTGGAATGTCATCGTATTTATGTCCCACTTTTGTTGATGAAATAGTTCCACTCTTAATACTCTGGTATTTCTTCTAATTTTTCAGTACAAAATTGTGGGACATTAATTTCTTATATATTTATTCACCTACATGCAAAATCTGGGGTTGTATTGTATCTAGTATGATGTAATGTAATTGGTTGACGGCCATTTGATCATTCAGAGCAAAACTCCGAAGTGGTGCATAGACCGATCATCACGAGAAAAGGGTTATTTCAGGAATCCGGACATAAATATTATTGTTCTATTGCTTCCGTAATGTGATATTACGAGCACCTTGGGCCTATTGTGGGCCGGAGATTACATCAACGCATTGTCCTTAAAGACGAGTAGTGTATATTCGGATATAATCAAGATAATATTCTATATTATGAATAAATAAGTATTGTTCGGTATGTAAGCTTAACCTTAAGTGAGAACGCTAAGAATTCGTCCGTGCACCATTTGGCCTATATGGACGAATGGAATAAGGTACGGAATGCAATCTGGATAGACGGGTAGGACGGACATATGTATGTTAGCAAGGAAATACTAGACAAGAAGCATACACATCAAACAAAAAGATTAGACAAAGAACCAAACGATAAGAATAAGATAGAAGCACGGAGTTACGGAAGACCGGAAAACGTAGAAACATACACCATGGCAGACTCTAATAGCCATCAGCCTTGCCTCGTTTCCTCCAGTAGTCGGAAACACCGTGCCATTCTGATTTGGAGCCAAATAAAATACGTTTAATTCCATTCATAGCTGTGAGTGGACCAGACGACAACAAATCATGACCCAATTCGTGCATCCGTTCCGATATATTGTGGTGTTGCATCTCAAAGACAGTCAAATTCTCGACCATAATATGTTGAGGGATTAATTGGTGATGCAATCTGGGGAAGGCGATGGCATCCAATAAGGGTAACTTCTCGCACATAATACGCACAATCGCGTGGAACACTGCAGTCGTGATCCGAGATCCGCCAGCGGCCCCTATTACCAAGTCAGGAATGAAAGTGTCGTTAACAAGTGACATGATGATAGTAGGCGACGTTGACGATAACGGGCGTTTGAATGGTTCGATGTAATTGTACACTGACGGAGTTAGGTTAAACGCATTCGGCGCACCGGGTATTGAAAAATCATCCATTTCATTATTTAGAATTATGCCTGTCTGATTATCGTAAACCATAGAACCAAATACTAGATTCACAGTAGTGGTCATTGCCATGGCATTATCATCGGAATCTATGATAGAAAAGTGCGATGTTCCATGTGGCTCTGTAAGCTCATATTTTGGATTATAATGTTTCCACGGAAAAGTATTGTTATCTGAATATGCACCACTGGTTATGATATGTTCGGCCCATTTGTCTGACGTATATCGATTAATTAAGTTGTTTCTGAAGGTGCTGTTGGACGTGTGCAAGGTAAAGTCGCCAAAGTTTGATCTTGCACTAGCCATCCACTTCATGCATTCTACTAATTTGTGCGTTTGTAGTACAGGACCGTCATTTTCAGCAAGCTTTTCATACAAGTTTAACCCCGACAATAAGGCTAATCCAGAAGATACACCACTGGAAGTGTAAACTTTGTATGTTTCATTATGCACAGTAAAGTTCAAGGTTAATGCATTCTCTACCCTGACATCATAGCTAGCGAAGTCGTCTGCCGCAATAATGCCGCCAAATCTGTTGCTAGTTTCAATTAAACTTTGAACAATTGGCCCATTTGGATCATAAAATATATCCGAAGACCCGTTTTGCGCTATAATGGATAATGTATCTGCTAATGCGGGTCTGATAATTAGGTCTCCTTCGTCAATTAATTGTCTCTCAGTTTTGTTCTTGAATACAAAATCCCAATCTTCAGCAAGACTTGGTAAGATGGGAAATACCAATCCCATTTGGAATTTGATTGCTCTGTCCAAAATCTCCGAGCAATGGAACCCTTTCCTGTTTAACTTAATGACTGGCTCTATCAAGGCTTCCCACGACAACTTGCCTGAGCCATGTCTGGTGTACAATTCATATAATCCTTTCAATTCCCCAGGGACCGCAATTGCAAGTCCCCCGATCTTGGACAATACCACGCTCTTATGGTACATTTCTTTGAATGCTTTCTGGGGGGCAGCCTCTCGCGCATCAATACTGATAACTTCTTCTTTTTCTTTCAAGCTGCTCACAATATAACCCCCTCCACCGATACCCGAAGAGTGCAGGTTCACACTGCCAATACAGAGTGCTACTGTGACTCCAGCATCAGCTGCATTACCTCCTCTCTGTAGGATTTCTTTTCCCATGGTCGAGCAGAGTGGTACATCACTACTTACCATGGCCTTGGAACCAATCTGAAGTTGCTCCTTCGAAGGATTAAGAGTTGGCTGACCTATTGGATCTCCAACAGGGTCACGGTTTATATTATAGAATATACTGTAATCAAATTCATGTTGTTTAACTGGTTTCACCGCAAACCACCCAATAGCAAATAAAACAAACGTTAACAAAACAAATCTTCTAAAATGTCTAAAACTATCCAGATACTTGTATTCTATACCTCTTTTCCTCTTTTCCAAAACCTCCATATTCAATAATAACAATTTATCTTTCAATCACTAAGTGATTTATTGTCTTATCTGAATACTCTTCGGTATCAGGTTTTTTATATACACTCCAATATCAAAATTCTTTTTCTCTTAAAATCTTATACTAGAAAAAGGTGAAATTTAGATTGTACTTACTACAGATAAAGTTTTATTCTTTGCAGCAGAATCTTAGTATTTAATTCACTCATAAGTTATAAGAATGGATATATAGAAATGGACACTTATAGTAAGCAAAAGCACGAAGAAAAAAGATTAAAAGAAGATGATGACTTAATTAATAATATCCTTCCATCGTATCATATGCACCAATCTACTATTTCGAAAAATTTAACACCCACTAATGAAAACTTTCGTGTGGACCCACCCATGTATGAGATGACACCCGTGAATTCGGTGTCGACCACGCCTTCTGTAAATATGTCAGCCATGCAGTCACCAACATCAAATTTATCAGTTGACGAATTTCCGTTTCCAAGCCAGCAGATTGACCAGGTACTTGAACAAGAGCCGAATATTTGGGAGAATACTATTTTAGCGAATGTACACAAATTACCTAATTTGAGTAAGTCGGATAATAAAATTTGCCAGGATTTGGAGATTGACATGAAGGTGACCGAGAAGGTTTGTCAGAAGGGAGTGAAGCCAACCATCATAGATCCCCTGAAATACGAGTTTAAACAAGGAGACTACATCCATGGCTATGTTACTATTAAAAATAAGTCTCCGGTACCTGTACTGTTTGATATGGTTTATGTTGTATTTGAAGGTACGCTAGTCGTACTTGAAAATAATCGAGGATTAATCGACGTTAAGAAGCCTTCAAAAGTCCACAAATTTTTAAATATGCTTGATTTATTTGCATCTTGGTCGTACGCAAATATAGCCAGATTAGCCACAGATGACGGGGACCCGCATGATTGGTGTGATGGAGAAACTGACCCTTATGATAATGCTGTTTTATCTATCGATGTTAAACGATTTTTCCAGCCTAACGTTATGTATAAGAGATTTTTCACATTCAAGATTCCAGAAAAATTACTTGATAATACATGCGAAGCACATACATTTCCTGTTCATACAGAAATACCTCCAAGTATTGGAGTTTCCAGAACCCAAAATTCACCATCATCAATATTAGGTGCAAAAAGTGGGCATCTCAAAGATTTCTCAATCATAGATACATCTATAGGCTTCAATGTTAGTGCTAGAGTTATTGGAAAAGCATCAGACTATAAGCATTCGTTGGACCGTGATCAATATGTAGTTGCTAAAGAAGCTACATGTAATATTCGGGTTATTCCGCAGAGTAATATGAATTATATTCATTACAATTCTTCTAGAAATCGTGAAATCTTTCTTTACTATAAAGTATTTGTCGATTCAATTAAAAGTAAAATAGAGCATGGGAATAATTTATTGAACTTACCAAGGGATCAACGAGATACCCCAGATATTTCACCCCTGGTGTCTAGAGATGGTTCTTTCGTGAAATTAAGACAGTTATATACTATGGCTGATAATGAAATCAAGCGAGAATTAAGACCTTCCACAAAACAATTTCTGGATGAAATATACCAATGTCTTGCACCATTTAAGAAGAAATCGTTGACTGGCTCATCGAAAACATTAGGGGTAATTTCTTTATCAACGCCCAAGGAGGATTATCGAACATTATATGTACCTCCAGTGAAATTTAGAAAGCCGGATGAATCATATGATAACACTAAGTTAACGATACCTATAGATATTTCGTACTTTCACACAAAATCATCGTCTGGTAAAGAAGTTCAGTTTCCGGAAATCAAATATTTGAAAGTAGAATTGGTAGCTCTCACATTAAGATCTCTGAAGTATCCTATTCCTTTAGAATTTTCCCATGATATGTGTTTCAAAGAACAAGAAATATATGATAAAAAAGAAACCCCAGAAAACTTTGACTCCATAATAATCAAGCAATTCCAATCATACCTATTACAGTTAAAATCTTTGCTCACTACTTTAGGAAGCAATATATTCAAAGTGGAGACTCAGCTAATGAAAGATATAAAGTCTCTTGCGACTTTATCGACCAAATACATTAACTTGCAAATTCCAAAGTACCAGCTTATAATGAAGTCACCTAAAAGTCATAGTTCACATAATTCCATAACCACAATACCGTGGGAACAAGTGAAATCTACACATGATGAATACTCCCTATACTCTAAAAGTTTTGACCTCCACGTTGATTTGAGAGATTGTCAAGCAAAAGGCCCAACATCGCATCCTCCACAAGGTACAAGCTTGGATCATTTAACTTTGGTACCGACTTTTCAAAGTTGTTTCATGTCGAGACTCTACTATTTGAAAGTAAGTATCAAAATAAATACCGGCGAGCTCTTAACAGTCAATGTACCAATGCATATAGAAAATTGATTACTTAGAAGAATATATACAATTCATTCCCGTAAAAACACCGTAAATGCCCAGCCGCACTTCGGTTGAAATTTATGTTTTTCATAATTTCATGATAAAATTCTGATATCAAGTAATAGTTTTATTATACATACGTTAGACAGATTTGACAGAGACAGTACTACGGTAAGACAGTACAGAAATTGCTAGTTGATTTTTTTTGCTGCTTATAGATTCTTGAAGGATGGATGACAAAGGATCTAATAGGTATAATTTAAGGCTCTCGTCTTTATCGCAAAGAGATGGTAAAAAAGGCCTTAAGCACAAAGGAGACGAGGAACTTTTGAATATCTTACCATCGTATCATATGTATCAGTCAACTATATCGAAAAACTTGACACCTTCGCATGAAGACTTTCGAACAGAACCACCAAGTTACGAAATTACGCCTATATCGTCAGTTGCCTCATCAGAAACCTCCAGCGTTAACGATTATTTTATGGATGTGTCCTTGCCTACTTCTCCCAATAATGCTGGTGAAGAAGAAAATGAAGAAGAAGATATTATGTCTATAGATAATACGATTTTATCTAATGCTCACAAGTTGAAGAGGTTAACAGCTATGAATAAAGAAATCTCTAAGGACTTGATAATTAATATCTATTTGACTGAAGAAATTGGAAAAATAGGTGTAGCACCTAGAATTGTTGATCCATTATCTTTAGAACTTAAACAGGGGGATTATATCTACGGTTTTGTAACCGTCACTAATAAGACAAAGCATAATGTTCCATTTGATATGTTCCCGGTAGTATTTGAAGGAGCCTTAACACTAGGTAATAATAATAGACCAATTGTACAGCCTCCGGTAAACATCGTCCGGTTCTTAACTATGTTTGACTTTAACGCTTCGTGGAACGATGGTAGCCTTGATAGGTTAGTAACTGATAATAATAACCCACATATTCCTAAGAATGATATTGATCCTTATGATAATACCCAAATTCAATTAAATCATAAAAAAATATTCGAACCTAATGTCACTTACAAAAAATTCTTTACATTTAAAATTCCTGATAAATTATTAGACAGTAGTTGTGAACCACATGGTTTGGTGAAACATATTCAGGTACCACCTACTCTAGGTATTTCAAAGAATGAAGTGATAAATTCATTAAGAAGAAAATGGAGAGATAATACAGATGATGCAGGTATTTCTTCGCCACGGCCTGATGATAGTGATATAGGAAGAAATAAAACTCAGTATGCATCGCTTACCAATGATTTTGCATTTCCTGATACTGCTATAAGTTATTGTATTAGTGCTAGGATTATAGGCAGATCAGCAGGTTACAGAAATTTGCTTTTGAAAAACCATCTACCACTGAATCCAACTGCTGACGAATACGTGGTTGCAAACGAAAATTACTGTTACTTAAGATTGGTTGGAGACGCCGACCCAATTTTTGAGCTTAATAGATCAATGATGACCGAAGAGGCCAAATTGATATATTCAAATATGGTCGACAAAATAAAGGAATACATCAGCTTGGCAAAAGAGATGTCAACGCTTTCTATTGAAGACAGAACTTCAACTTCTTCTTTACATCCTACTTCGAGTGCAACTGAATTAGCAAAAATGCGCCAGTCGTATTATTCAAAAATTAGCCCTTCCAGACCTAAGGAAAACGTTTACGAAGTATTTTTACTGTATAGAAAGAAGTCGATTATCGGAACAAACAAAATAATAGGTCTTGCTGCTTTGTCAAGTCCAAAAACTCATTATAGAGTACCATATGTACCGCTAGCAAAACTCAGGAAACCAGACACACCAGTTCCCTCAACAAAAATAAACATCCCCTTAGACCTTACTTTTATCTATTCAGAAGGTCAAAATCAGAGTCCGCCAGATTTCAAGCATATATCTGTTGAACTTATTGCATTGAATATCAAATCCAAAAACTTACCCATCCCTGTGGTATTCCATCACGATATGCTTTTTCAAAATAAAAGTAAAGGCTCGGATAATTTTGACTATATAACTATCAAACTATTCCAAAAATATGCAGTAGAGTTATCAAAACTTCTCAAAGACGTCAAGCGTGATAGCTTAGAAATAGATAAAGGTTTAATACGTGATGTCAAGTGTCTTGCTAACCTTTCGTCCAAGTATGATTATTTCAAGATTTTAAATCCGAAAGTGTCTGCTATGGACTCTTCAGAGGAGCTAAACTTGATTTCATCAATACCATGGGAATCGGAAAGTTTGATTAAAAAATCTCCAAAAGATAAGGTAGAGGAACAAGTTAAGTACACCAAGAGATTCAATGCTGTTATTGATATATCAAACGCAGCCTTGGTTCCAAGTGGCTCTAAGGATTTCTGCTTGATACCTGACTTTCAATATTGTTTTACAGCTCGACTTTATTATTTGAAAATAAAACTTAAGTGTCCTAATGGCGATATTATGGCCCTTAAAGTACCTTTGATACTCCAAAAAGAAAGAGAGTAGTATATTTATATTTACATAGCATATAGTTCTCATAGATTTATTTTTCGCATGTTGCAATCTCTGCGCAAATACAAAAAATTTTCAAACTGGTACATTGAAACATTTCAATCAACCAAGCCTATAACCATGACTGAAGAAAAAATATCTGAATGGGATACAAAGAGGTATATCCCAAAGCCGGGTGAGCCAGATTTGCCTCCTCAATTGTCTGAACTTGCAGATAAGTCTGCAGATGAAGTCATGAAAGAATTGAATAGATTGCCATTATTCATGACAGAATTAGATGAAACTGATGGTGAAGGAGGAGAAAATACTAACTTAGAGGCACTTAAAAGTTTAGTATATGAAGGTGACCCTGACGAAATTGCTACAAATTTTAAAAACCAGGGAAATGATTGTTACAAGGCTAAGCAATACACCACAGCAGTGGGTTACTATACGAAGGGTTTGGAAATTGACTGTGGTGTTGACTCAATTAATTCTGCATTATACTTGAATAGAGCAGCTTGTAATCTTGAATTGAAAAATTATAGAAAATGTATTGATGATTGCAAAAATGTTTTACTTCTAGACGAGAAAAATGTTAAGGCATGCTACAGATCTGGTAAAGCTTTCTTTTGTGTTGAAAGATTTGAAGAAGCGAAACAAATATTACAGTATGGATTAACTATCGATGCTGATAACAAGTCTCTTAAAGATACTTATCAACAAGTTGTTGATAAAGAAGAAAAAATTGCAGCTGCAAAACTCAAAAAGCAAAAAGAAGAAGAAGAGAAACAATTGAAACAAGTTTTACTAGTAAATGCAATCAAATTAAGACATATAGAGATATTAAAGAGTGCCAGGCCAGCAGAATTACTCGAGGATGCTAAAATACGATTAGAAGATGCAATGGATCATGAATCACAATTAATTTTCCCAGCAATGATCTTGTATCCTACCACTGATGAATTCGATTATGTTGCAGAAATTAGTGAATTGAGCACACCAACAGATATCTTAAAGGTTGTTTTGAATAGACCAAAGGAATGGTTTGAGGACCCTAAACATGAAAATTTCACTCTCAAGAAATTACAATGTTACATGGAAACAGTTTCAGGCGGATTGGTTAAAGTTGGTAAGAATGTGGCAATTAATAATGTGCTAATGTCAGATAAACCAAAGGCGCCATTATTTGACAACGGTTTAAGGTTATACGTCGTCCCAAAATCTGATTCAGAAGAGTGGTTATCTAAATGGAATAAGGATGTTGCGTTAACAAAACGTCAAAGTTTGAAATAATAAAACTTTATTATTTTGGTTGTACATTAAGTATTTATGTTATAGGTACATATTTACAGTGATATATATATATATTACAGATGAGCGGAATCTTTATAGCCCATCTTGATTGCATACTCTGTAGCTTCACGTTTCCTTTGCTTTTCGTCCGGTGTGAAGTTTGAAGGAGAAGATTTGCCACGGTATCGTGAAGCTTGTGACTCGAATATTTCCTCTATATTTAAACGAGGAACTTCTCCAAAAATTGTTACTGGATCTATAGTTCTATTTTGCATTACAATCTTATGTAACTGCGGAGTTTCAGCCCAACTTTGCAAGACTTTATGAGACTTATTATCTTCATCGTCTGTCGGAATATCTGGCAAGGTATCTTCTACTGTTTGGAGTTTTCTATCTTTAGCAGGTGTTCGGGGATCTGCAAAAATATCATTAGCTTTAAAATTAGTACTTTTATGGGATGTCTTTTTATCGCTATTTGAGATTCTACTGGCCTTTTTTTCAAGGATCTTTTGTTTACTCAATGCATGTTGTCTTGATGGTGTTTTACTTTCAACTTTGGAACGCTTAGCGAAATCTTTGTGTTCCAGATTACTATTTTTTATATTTGTAGCTTCCGGCAAAGTTGTTAACTTTCCATAGTTTAATTTAGTTCCTGGTTTCAGAGTTTGTTGAGGCTCTGAATTATCATTCAAAAAATTAGATGATCTTTTTCCTTCATTTGTTTTCTCATGATTTGGTATATCATTTTTTAAAACGGGTGAAGGGTTTGGTAGCAATTTATTATCTAGCTTATGATTCATAGCTATCATAATTTTTTGTCTGGGTTTCTGAGCTGCTGCTTCGCTTCTCTCTGCCATTAAAGACTTTTTCTTCAATGATGGAATATTAGAAAATTCTAATCTGGAGGGAATCTTTGTTTCTTTCATTTCCTGTTCATCATTTAGAGGAATTGACTTCTTCAACGGAGACGGATCAGATCTACTCGACGACTTTATTGGATTAAATTGTGGCTTTGTCGGATTAAGAGTTGTCGTGAGGAACTTGTTCTTACTTGAAATTTCATTTCGTTTACCATCTTGAGTCTTTCTGGATGGAGTTTTCACATTTTTAGCTGCACTAGCACTAGTAGGAGCCATAAGTCTGTTGATTAAATCTACTTCGGCCTTTCCTTGAATAATTTTTGGTTCAATAGCAGCTTTAGCATCTAAATCGACATTAATTCTCGAAGATGCTCTAGAAGTGGTCTCTGAACCTGCCATGCTGAGCAGTTTCGTTGGTGATCTAGACCTCTGCGTGTTATATACGGTGGAAGACCTAACAGGTGATTTAGTACGTTCTCTTATTAGCATTTGGGATGAATGTTTCTCAGGTGACCTCGAACTGGATTTCCGGTTTGGTGAACCAGTGCCTGTTGAAAAACTTGCTGAATCGTACCGTAAGCCTACTGACTTTGGATTACTCATAAAGACATTCCTGGCACGGCGGAGAACAGATCCGATCGAGTTAATAACAGGAGATTTCGAAGGTGACCGACTAATACTTTCTCTATTCTTCGTTTCCTCCTTTATTTCTTCATCGCTTACTAGAGTGGGTGCATTGCGATTAAGGAACAGATTCAAAATCTTCTCAGTATTTTCAGCAGATTTTACAGGTAAATCTTCGGAGGCAGGGATTCTTATTGCGTTGTGATTATCAGATTTAAATTCATATTGAGGTTTAGAACTTTCCTCCAAATGGTCTGTATGCCCTGGGACTGTACTAGGCAGCTTCTTCGCACGTTGCTCGTTTATATGCCACTTATTTTCGTCCGTTACTTCTTCCTCTGATTTCAAAATCTTTATTGGGCCTTCCTTTGGTTTAATATTGTCATTTAATAATGGCCGTGATGATCTTCTCTTTAAGCTTTCTTTTATATATGTGGAATTAAATCCAGCATGACTTTCCGTATCTCTTTGTAATTTTCGTTTTTTCAACGTTCCTGGAGATAAATTTCCTGTATTTTCATTTCTCGAAGCTATTTCTAATTTTTCAAACACTCTCAGAGACCTGCTTTTGATTTCAGATATTCCTTTGCCAGAATTATTGGATGATGAGCTGATTGTTATTGGCTCGCGCGATGGTAAAGATACAAAGACGGATGCTCGCTTTGGAGTTTTATTCATAGATTTTCTTACCGAAGCTGGTTCTCTTTTCAATGGTACAGAAATGCTTCCAGAGTTATTTAAGCTCCCATGAGATAATGCACCGATAGTAGCTCTATTGTTAATTCTCGAAAGATTTTCCGGGGCATTATTTTGTTTCTTCTTGGGTGTATCAACATGAATAAATTGGCTTGTTCTAGGATTATGAATAGCGGACTTGCCAGCTATACTTTTCCTTATCGCTGTACTTATGGCCTGGAATGAATCGTCATCTGATGCTTGATTTGTAGGCTCTTGTTCTCTATACGGTGACTCCAATTTTGGAGGTATGCCTTTTTTTGGATTTATAGTATTAGCTATGGGTATAAATGATAAATCAGCATGCAGTGAGGGATGTACATCCTGATCCTGGTTATTTTTCAATGGTGACGGTGTCTTCGGCGTATACCTCGAAGTTGCATGTGCGGTATTAGAATTAGTATTAGTATTAGCATTTGTAGGAGCAATCACCGGTGAAGACTGAGGGTTATTCGACTTGTCCCCGTCTCCATCTATCAGAGTTCCTTCATTTCGATGCTCCGGCGAAATATATGTGAAGTTAGACGTAATATCTACCCCTTCTTGCTTTCTAACTACATCCATCTCTTTACCATTTTCCGCCCCTTCCACCGCCGCATCTTCACCAAGTTCCCCTATAATATCGCCCGCCTTAGTCTCATTCTCATCTCTCTCCGTTAACGACTCGACAAATATCTTATTATCTTGCCCTTCCAATGCTTTTCTCATGAAATCATTCAATTCGTCAATATCTCCTCTTAAATCTTGGTAGAACATCTCCGTGTGCGTTAGCACTTCCGAGTTCATGCAATATAATTCATTGGCAACCCATTTCGATGTTCCCGGGACTACTTCGTTCTTCTTGCTTTTTGCTGCCTTAATAGCCCAAAAACTGGCACTCATTTTATAGCTATTTCAAACCTGAGTCACAGACTCCACTTCACCTAACTTCTATTATCAACTATCCGTTAATTACCGTAGGATTCAAGCGTATTGGTTGCTCTGGAACCAATAAGAATGTATTTACATTTTGTGGTTAAATTATTTTTTCAAACGCGACAAGTGCCTTGTTATAAAACATGTCAAAATTGATCTTGCCTTGATAATATTTATTACATATCTTTCCGGAGTCGAACTTAAATTGAACAAATCTAAGGGTATAAGTAGTAACCAATTCTGGTTTGGTGGATATTGTAAGCTAACAGTATTGGGAACATATTGGCACAAGGTATTGTGATATAAAATAGACGGGGTTTATATCATCACATCAGATAAGAATAAAACCACTAAGTTCTTACCAACCCAGTAGAGCCAATATATTAGTCAGGTAATAAGAAAAGGAAATAAGACCCGCAGGAATAGTGAAATTTAATGAAATTTTTTGGAACAAAGCCCACCAAACGTGATTTTAAGAGCCGATTGCAAAATAGCCCCCCATCGAACCAAAGCAATGAGATACCAGTACCGGGTCGAGATACGAAGAGCGAACAGGAACCATTAGCGTCTCCGGCGTACGAGGACGTTCCAATATGGAACATTTTGCCTTCGTACCAACTTTATCAATCGACATTCTCGAAGAACATTCGTCCTTCGAACGAGGACTTGAGATTTGCTCCCCCTAATTATGATGAAGATTCAACGGTGACTCCTACCGGAAGTATCGATTCGGGCACTGGAAGCTACTTTCCTAGTATGGCAGATTCTCCAGGGACGACTCATTCTGCACCAACGGCTGCTCAGTCGTATCCGTTGAACCCTGTAAATGAATCACCAACGAGATGGGAGGATAGTCTTTTGGGAAATACGCATAAGTTGAAGAAAATTGCAGACATCAACAGTGGTGTTGCTAATCGAGTAAAAATTGAAATTCAAATCACAGAAAAAGCGTGCAAGAGAGGTGTACGACCCACCATCATCGACCCTCTGGCTATAGAGTATCAGCCTGGAGATTCTATAAATGGATTTGTCACCATCAGTAACAAACATCATCTCCCCATTCTGTTTGATATGTTTTCTGTTGTTTTCGAAGGTAAGATTTCGGTTACAAGTGATACTGATTCAAAGAAGTCGCTTATTTTCTACAAGTTTCTCAATATGTTTGATTACAGTGCCTCTTGGACTCCTGCAGATTTGAATGATGAGATATTCGAAGCTGATCTGTATGATCCTCTTGATAATGCATGCATGAGGTTTCCAATGGAGAAATATTTCGAGCCTGGTGTCACTTACAAGAAATTTTTTAATTTCCGTGTTCCTGATAAGTTATTAGATGTTGCCTGTGAATTTCATAATTTACCTCGACATTGCGAGATGTTACCTACGTTGGGATTAGCTAAAGATCAATTTTTAAAGAACTTGAGGAAATTTCGTCAAGGACCCTCGACCAAGTCAGAATTTACAATTGGTGGTACGGCCCCAGTTTTGAATCAACCTAGAAAGCCTGGTTTGAATGGGGTATTAGATAAACGATTAAAGGATTTGTCCTTCCCAGATACTTCTGTCAGTTATAGTATAGAAGCCAGGGTTATCGCAAAAGAATCTGATTATATCCTGATCATTCCAAGTCATTTGATCAAACCGGGAAAAGATGAATTTTTGATTGTTAATGAAACTAGTAGTTTTATTAGAGTTATACCCAAAGAACGGTTATCTAAAGCTTTTGACAGTGAGTTAATTGAAAATGAATCAAAGATTATATATAATAACCTAGTTGAAAGGGTAACCCAGAAAATTGACTTGGGTAAGGACCTATTGGATGAGAAGCGTACAATTCATAATAATGAAAATACTTATGAAATTACAAGGGTACCATCTATTTCTAAAAGACGACAATTATATAATGATGGGAATAACAGTAACCTGGCTAGAAATAAGTTGTTGAGAAAAGGAAAAAATGCAAAGTATGAATTATTTGTACCTTATAAGAAGAAGTCATTGACTGCTGCTCCAAAAGTTGTTGGGATTATTGGTATGACCACAATTAAAATGGACTACAAAGTGAAATACGTACCCCCTTACAAATATAAAGCTTTGCATCCCCATCCACTTAATGGTGAATTATCAACGAAGCTTGATATTCCTTTAGAGTTTGTTTTCTCATCTAACGAAAGTTCTAAAACATCTAAACCCCCAGATGTTAAATCCATAACCGCCGAATTGATAGTGTTTACATACAGATCAAAGAAATATCCAATTCCTGTTGAAATATTTAGTGATTTGATGTTCAAGAATAAACCGGGAGACGCTGACAATATAGAAAACTATGTCATTAAGCCATTCCAGAAATACCTAGAAGAAATCACTGATTTGTCTAGAAAGTTGAATTGCGATGTCTTGAATATTGACAATCAATTAATTATGGACATAAAAAGTTTAGCTAATTTATCTACAAAATACAACTGCTTACGAGTTGACGAATCTAAGGTGACCTCAAATCATGCCACATCCCCATGGACTTTTGTTTCTTCACGGGAGTCAACATCTTCCGCCGACCAGGAAGTTTATTCAAAGAAGGTCAAACTTCAGATTGATTTGAAAAATGTCTTTTCGAAAGATAATACGGGATCTCACGATGATCTTGGTGTTGATGCCTATTGTCTTGTTCCAAACTTCCAGAGTTGTATTATAGGTAGAGCGTATTATTTGAGGCTTCACATCAAATTGCAAAATAATGATCTGATGTACTTTAGAATTCCTATTACAATTCAATTATGATTAATAAACGATACTAAATTAAACATGTATAATGTATTTGTAGAACTACGCCAAAATGTAGCAGAGAGTTTTTATGTGCAGTGTCATATTTTGTTATCTATGTGTAATTTTAGATTCTAAAACAATCCTTCTTCCTTACCACTAGCATTAAAGTACATTGAATTGCTATTTCTATTCGTTTTGCTAAGTTATGAATAGCTTGCAATACCAGCTGCTTGGTAGCAACGACAATAATAAGTGCTCCGTGTTTGAAGGAGCATCTAAAATAAACTTCGCATTTCTGGTATTAATAACCATAGGGATTATCATCAGTTACTTACCACAATATCGTCGTATTTATATCAAGAAGACATCCGAAGGGTTATCGACAAACTTCTTGTTTTTGGGTTCATGCTCATCGATTTTCACTCTTACAAATATTATTCTTGTTAGCTCTAAAGCTAGACATTGTTGCTATATAGGTGCATTGAACTTTTTCAACTGCCTCAACTCCCAGTTAAACTTAATTCAAATTGGAATACAATGCACGTGTGCTATTTTGATACTAGTTGTTGTCCTTCTTCAAACAAGATATTCGATAAAGCAGGATAAGGAAGAATATGCAAAAATTGTGACTGTGGGGAAGTTCGTAGCACTACATGGAATTATATCGATAATCGAAGTATTTACCGGATTGTTTACCAATCACACTCTTTTAATCACAATTGCCCAAATCAATGGTTTACTCTCGGCACTATTAACCATGATGAAGTATGTACCCCAAATTACCACCACTTACAGACTTAAACATCCGGGCACGTTGTCTATAGGCATGATGTGCATTCAAACGCCAGGTGGATTCATTTTCACCATGACATTGTTTTTTACTAAAGGTTCACATTGGTCTTCGTGGGTGTCATACTTAGTTGCCGCTCTTTTACAGGGTACTTTGTTGTTGTTGTGCATTTATTATGAGTACATAAAGAATGAAGGTATAACAGCAGAAATTTTAGAAAGACGGGAAGTTGACAGAAATATCATACAAAACCTTGATGAAGTAAATGAGGATGACCAAGAAACTGATGTTCTTATTAGATCTTAAATATAATATACATGCTCTATAATATATGACTACTCTTCTTCATTCTCTTCATCGAAAAATGATGCAAATTTAGGTTTTGGTTTCGCATTTATCGTATTTGTCTTTTCCGATGCAAGGTCTTTCGATGATCCTTCTTGGGGTTCATCCTGTTCTTCGCCAGATGATTCCCAATCACTTTCCCAATTGTCGTCAGACTCAGACTCCAGATTCAATGCACTATTGACACTATTTCTCACCTCCATCATCACGTCATCTAGTTCATCAAGAAACTCCGTATCCTGAAACCTTTCTTGCGAGGCAGTATTACCATTCAATACACTCTCATAATACCCAATAGCTTTCTGGAGCTTTTCCTTCTTTTGCTGAAGCCTTTCCTTATCCTTATCCATTTGCCCATTTTGCTCATTGAGCGCCTCGTACGCCTTTTTCAACTTGTTAATATCTTTAGTTTTAACTCCCGTTTTCAAATCCTTGTAATATGTCTTTGGATCCTTGGTCTCTCGTTTGGGTTGTCGTCCTGATCTGCCCTTGTTCGCTCGTAAGTTGGCTCCAAACCCCCCTTTTCCTCCTAGAACACTCACAAATGCATTTATCTTTGTAACTCCATTCATACCCTTAATATCATCTATCGTGTTGTCTCGACAAAGCGGTTTATTAGTGCATCCCACTACATATCTCGGACGTAATTGAAACCTCTCGTAGTATCCATCTAGTCTTTTTACCAACTCATCTACCGAAATATCACCACTGTAATCTTCTATTCTGTAATTAGGTATCCCCCGTATGTTCCCTACTTCAATGACCATCATATATCGTGTACTGGAACCATATATTGACCTTAGAACGCTTATCTATATGGCAATAGATGAAATCCATATTGTACTTATATCATCGATTATGTAATCTTGAAAAAAATTCCACGAATCAATTGTCGACTGAGTGGAAAATTTTGGTGATATTTAAGTAGAATGGAGTTCTTCTTGTCTATTTATCATTAAACAAGCAATTTAAAAATGTTTAGAAACGTTGCTAATGCTTTCCGTTTAACTGGACGTACTACATTTAGAGTTCGTCCAACTTCAATCAGATCTTACTCTGTATTCGACCGTTCTAAGCCCCATGTTAACATTGGTACCATCGGACATGTTGATCACGGTAAGACCACTTTGACTGCTGCCATCACTAAAGTTTTATCTGACAAGGGTGGTGCTTCTTTCTTAGATTACGGAGCTATTGATAGAGCTCCAGAAGAAAGAGCTAGAGGTATTACCATTTCTACTGCCCACGTTGAATACGAAACTGAAAAGAGACATTATGCCCATGTTGACTGTCCAGGTCACGCTGATTACATTAAGAATATGATTACTGGTGCTGCTCAAATGGATGGTGCTATTATTGTTGTTGCAGCTTCTGATGGTCAAATGCCACAAACTAGAGAGCATTTGTTATTGGCTA